TCCATTTCCAACGAACAACCAGTGATGTCCATGCTGCTTGTCCTCAGCCCCCATTCTGAGTAGCAGGGAACTCCCTCCCAGCCCTGATGCCGCCACGTCCACGAGGAGCTCTCTGGAATCTGTGGACTCCCAAAGCTTCCTAGGCCAGAAGCAAAATACTTCTCAGACACCAGCTATGTAGGCAGTGCTGCCACTGGCAGGTTGGAAATCACCTTTGTCTCTAAGAGGCATTCATGGGGCTCAAGTGCTGGGTGCTGGGGATAAAACAATGATAGAGAGGGCAGGGCTCTGCGGAGAACAGGGGGTGACAAGGGTGTTCTACCTACTCCTCCCTCAACTCAGTGGCCTCAAGTCCTAGACACTGAACAGTGAGGGAAACTGAGGCTTTAGGAAAACAGCACAGACCCTATCCAGCCCAGAGTTACTGCCAGCTGCCCTGCTAGGCATCTGGGCTGACCCTCAGCAGGACACATACCTCCTCTTCAAGGCAGTGACCTTTAGCCAGGTAGACAGGAAGGGTCAGGGTCAGGGTCTGGCCCTGTCTCTTCCCTCCTGCCGGGCTGGGGCAATGTCTAACCCCACCTGAGCTGGATGTCCTCAAGGGATGAGCAAAGCGCACAGGGCTTCTTTGGACTCAGCACACCTGACTGAGATCACCATTTCATAGGCAGGCCCCCTTGCGTCCACACCATGGGACACATCTGGCTAAAACCAGAACAAAATGTGATTGCTTCCCTTGAATGGCGACAATGCCATCCTGGGCTCAGGCGGGTTCTCCGGCAGCCCTGCTTGGCCTCCCCACTGCTGGTGAACCTGGAATCTCAATCAGACTGAAAGCTGGCTGGCTCAGACCCTAAGCAATTAGGAGTGCCAGGCCTCTCTAATTAGCCAGCCAGCCCCTCTCCCTCCCTGCGACAACCCTCAGATAACAAGGGCAGGCAGCCAGGGTGGGCAGGCCCAATTACAGAGAGGACACAGTGCTGAGGACCAGCACCACGGGTTCCACCCGCACACTCATTAGCTTGTGGCTGCTGAATGCTGCCAGGGCTCTTGCTGGGGACACCTTTGTGAGCCCAGGAGCACCTGAGGCTCTGGTGTGGGCACTTCCCCAGCAGGGACCTCCCCAGCATCCCTGCTCCACAGCCTGCCCAAGCCCACATACCTCCCAGCCCTCACTTGAGGTAAGGAGGTGGGAGGCAGAGATGGAAATAAATGGGAGGGCTGCCTAGAAACTGGGAAGCCCAGAGTGGAGGGCTCCTGACACCCCAAGTGGCCCAGAACTGTGCTAGAACTCTGAGCCCCCCAAGAGAGGTCTCCTTAACCCCAACTGCAATTAATCACTCATAATCTTTCAGTGCACACCCCCATCTGAATGTTTCCTTACCCTGTATCCCAAGTGCTCAGGACATCCAATGCCGAAGCGCTACAAAGGTTTCCAGAGGCTTTTATATAAATTACTGAAAACAATGAGACTACCCGTGGGAGCTTGAATTTTAAGAAAACATGAATTCTAATAAGGAGACTATGGGGCTCTAGGGACCAAGTGGTATCCCCTCAACATTCCTGTGTTGAAGCCCTGACCTCTGTGTGACTGTCTCTGGAGAGAGGGTCTTTAGCGGGTAACTGAGGTTAAATGAGATTGCAAGGTGAGGCCCCCATCCGACAGGATTAATGTCTTCATAAGAAGAGGGAGAGAGACCACATGAGGACACACTGTGAAGACGGCTGTCTGTGAGCCAGGAAAGGGCCCTCTCCAGACACTGAATCAGCCGGCACTTTGATCTCAGCCTTCTCAGCCTTCAGAACTATGAAAAATAAATGTTCTTTAAGGCACCCAGTCTGCAGCAGTTTGCTATGGCGGCCTGAGGTGACTAAGACATGGCACAACATGGGAGCTCCTCTGAGACACACGGGCTATCAGCCTTTGTGTGTACGGTCTAAACTGGAAGGCCACAAAGTGGACCCGTAACATCAATGACAGGTGCGCTTTAGCAAATGCCTGCAGTGGGCTGGGTGCTCTGTAAGGACTCTCAGACCCCCTCACACACACACAACCCTCCACGAGAGAGAGGACTTTATCTATTTTGTTCAGGGCATCACCAGCCCCTAGAGCAGGGCCTGTATGTGGTGGGCCCTATATTATTTAAGGAATGAAGAATTATGAATGAATAAATGAATGCCACAATTTTCCCTAAGACAATGAAGAAAATCTGCCAAATGTCCCATCATTTGGCTATGGCCGCAGCTAATACCCTCTCTTCCCACCTTTATCCTGAAATAAGTCTTTTCAGAAGCTCAGAGGGCTGCTCTACCTCACCACTCAAGCCAGGGTCACATCCTTAGCCTGCTGCAATTGAAGAACCATATTCACGCCTGTAATCCTAGAACTCTGGGAGGCTGAGGCAGGAGGATCCCTGGAACTCAGGAGTTCAGGCCAGCCTGAGCAAGAGCAAGACCCAGTTTTTACTAAAAATAGGAAAATTAACCAGGTGGTGTGGCAGGCACCTGTAGTCCCAACTACTCAGGAGGCTGAGGAAGGAAGATCCCTTGAGCCCAAGAGGTTTGAAGTTGCTATGAGCTAGGCTGATGCCATGGCACTGTACCTAGGGTGACAGGGTGACAGAGTGAGAATCTGTCTTAAAATAAAAAACAAAAGAAACAACCAGAATCATTTTCTGACAGAAATGTCTCCCATGCTAGCCAAGTACCTCAGGGTGAGGAGTATTGAGAGTGTCTGGAAGAATACAGCCCTGCACCCTCATATCCAGCTGAGGTCCTTCCCTGGGACAGCCACTTAGCCTAGGAAATGGCTCTCCAAGGAGCAGCTGCCTTCATCTCTCAGCAGCTAGGGCTGCAGCAGCCTGCCTCTGGGACACAGACCCACACTTTCCCAGGGGAAGAAGATGAGGCTCTGTCCCTCTTCACGGCCCCAGAAATCTGAAACAGTTACAGCAATTGTGGGGTTGAGAGACAGGAGGAAATAACAGGCTGCTGGGCCCCATTCGACCAGGCAGAAATCACAAAACATAACCCCTCCTACCCAAGTCCTGGGATGAGGCAGACATTCCCGTGTCCCTGTGGCCACTACCTATGGTGGTCTCTGGTTCAGGGCGCATGGAGGGTTTAAGGAGGAGCCAGCACAACAGATACCCCTTCACCCCTCCACAGTTCTTATAACAATTAATCATATTGCTCAGCCCATTTCACCACGTATGATAGAGCAGGGGGGGGAAGGACCATTAACTGAAATCCTGGCTTTCCCACTTATGAACTGGGTTAGTAATCTCTTCACACCTTGTTCTTCTCGTCCAGCTTTGAACACCACTGAAAACGCCCTTCTCAAGGCTGCTGAGGCATCGATCTCCCAAGCCCACATTTACTTCTTTGACTTCTCGTCTTTTATAGTCCTCTCGACCCTTGCACCCAAACCTATCATCCTCTACCTTCTTCTTCCCAGAATTTATTACTTTCTGAAGTGACCTAATTCATTTGATCCTTACTTGTTTTTTGGTTCCCTTACCCATCATCTCAAGAGAGAAGCTGCCTTCTCTGTCATCTTCGCAATTATAACTCCAGGCTTAAAACAGTGAGGGAACATGGAAGTTACTTGAGGATAGGTCCCAACAAAACTAGGGTGAAAACAAAAAAGAGGAAGACATGGTATACTGGGAATAGCATCTCTAACCTAGGAGGCAACAGCAGCAACTAGTCTAGGCTGGAGCAGGAATATGAATCTAGAAGCGTGTCTGTGGTGGGTAGATGGGGGAGTAGTCTGCATGTGATAGAGAGTAAAACTGAGATGCTAAATAATCTTGAGGATTAGAAGATACATTATGACTTGTGCAATAAGAAAAAGAAAGGCAATTAGAAACTCCAGGAAAAACCAAAATTTATATTTATTTTTTGAGACAGAGCCTCGAGCCATTGCCCTGGGTAGAGTGCCGTGGCATCACCACTCACAGCAACCTTCAACTCCTGGGCTTAAGCAATTCTCTTGCTTCAGCCTCCCAAGTGGCTGGGACTACAGGTGCTCACCACAACAACACCTGGTTATTTTTTTTGGTTGTAGCCATCATTGTTGTTTGGTGGGCCCGGGCTGGATTTGAACCTGCCTGCTCAGGTGTATATGGCTGGTGCCTTAGCCGCTTGAGCCATAGGCACAGAGCCCAAAATTTATATTTAAATAAGTCTTAGACTCACTATAAAACAATACGTGGCATAATTTATTATGAGAAATGGAGGAAATCTACTTGATCTTGCTGCAAAGATCATTCTGCTTTGAGTGACCGGGGATCAAGAGAGCAGACCAACAGAATAGGAAGTGTGAGATCCTAGTATACTCCTTGGCTCTGATGAAAACAATACTTATCTAATAACATTTATTAAGTGCTCATGTAGCCACCAAGGTTTAAAGAGCTTTGCATTTACTATTTAATCCTCATAGCTCACTGATATACATGTTATCATTATCCCTGTTTTACAGATAAGGAAGATGAGGCTTGAGATACGAAACTAGTTTCCCGATATTATACAGCTAGTGGAAAAGCTAGATTCACATGTGAGCTGTGAGACCCAGAGGTCCACCCCCAGCACTATCCCTAGAAGCTAGGTTGCCTGATTGTCAGGCCCTAGTCCGGGGTCCTCAAACTTTTTAAACAAGGGGCCAGTTCACTGTCCCTCAGACCGTTGGAGGGCTGGACTGTGGGCTCCGGGACGAGTCGGCTGCTAAGCAGGACAGGCAGTGGTGGCAAAAACACCTGGTGGGCCGGATAAATGTCCTAGGTGGGCCCCGTGTGGCCAGTAGGCCATAGTTTGAGGACACCTGTTAGTTCTTGCCAAAAAGCAGAAGATGCCAAAGGTATGCAGTATGTAGGCACACAAGTGTGCGCACACACACACACACACACACACACACACACAGAGTCTCCAGGCAGCCAGGATGCAAAGCCATGGAGCAGCAGAGCTGTCCAGGCTGGGTAGCCAGGATGGCAGGGCCTTACCTTCCTGCAGTCTTTGCAGAACACCGATGAGCTTCCCAGGAAGCCCAGCACCTCCCCACAGAGCAGGCACTGGGAGAGCCCGTTCCCCATCACATTCCGCCTCATGGTCTCCAGCCGCTCCACCAGCCGCCTGCAGCACACAAGGTGGAGTCAGAGAAAATGTGCTTCCTGTCTCCAACCCAACCACTGCCTGGGGACAGCTGCCATGGGTCCCCAGTATTGTGCCATGCCACATGTTCCCTCAGGTGGTGCACTATTTCCTGCCCTACTCTCTCCTCTGGCTCTCCCCTAATTGTTCCTGCACTTGCCAGCTATGAACTGAACACCTAAGAGCCAGACACCAGAGATATTGCAGCAAACAAGCCAGAGACAGACATGGTCCTGGTCTTATAGGACTTACGTTCGATAAGGGGAAAACCCAGAAGCAAGTGAACAAGCAAGCTGATTCCAGACAGGGAGCAGCACTATGAGATGAAAACAGTGGGGGCAGAGGAGGAAGAGAGATAGAGGGGGCCGGGCACATTCAGTGATGACCAGGAGAACACAGGAGGTAAGAGCTGAGGAATGACAAAGACCAAACTAGGGAAGAGCCAGCGAGCGGCCCAGGCCAATGGCACAGGAGGTGCCAGGCTTGGGGCTGTGAAGGGCTTGGCACAGCAGCCAGGAGGCCAGTGAGGCCACTGCCTCGAGAGAGCCGCGGGGAGACTGGAGTAACGCGAGGCTAGAGGGACAGGCAAGGGCCAGCACGTGTGGGTTTTGTAGGTCACAAAATGGAGTTTAGATTTTTTTTTTTCCTAAGATCAATGTGAAACCACTCTAGAGTTGTTTTTCTTTAAATTAAATCATAGCTCTGTACATTGATACTGTCATGGGGTACAGTATGCTGTTTTTATACACAACTTGAAATATTTTCATCAAACTGGTTAACATAACCTTCATGTCATTTTCTTAGTGACTGTGTTAAGACAATTATATTCTACCTTTAGAAAAATTCACATGTACCCTTATAAGATAGATCATAGGCGTGATCCCACCAATCACCCTCCCTCACTCTATAGAGTTTTAAGGGGGAGTGATTTGATCGCTCTGGCTTCTGAGGGATGAGGGAGGAAGCTAGGAGAGGCTATGTGCAGGGGGGGGTCCAGGGAAGGAGGGTAGAGAGGGTGTCAGGCTATATTTCAGAGGCAGCCTCAATGGATCCAAGGCTGGGGAAGGGGCAAGAAAGAGATCCACAGTGATGCTGAGGCTCTTGGTTGGACCAACTTGGCAGATGGAGAAGTGGGAAGAGGAAGGAAAAAAGCTCCCCTTGGAAACCTTGAGATGCATCTAAAAGCCTTCACTGCTCCCCACTGAGCTGGGTTAGGTGACTCTCCTGGGGGCCTCCACGGCCACTCCTCACATTATAACCTGGTTACACAACAACCTCTGTGAAATTGTTCTGTTTCGCTGGCCACTGTTACCAGTGGACACTTGGTAAAAATTCTTGAATGAAGGAAAGACAAAGCATGGGCACCCAATCTCTACTAATCACACGAAATCCCCAGGAGGAGCTACTATTTTTCCTGTTTTAAAAATAAGACAACTGAAGCTCACAGATGTGAAGCCCCTTGCCAGGGTCACAGAGCTCCCAATTGGGGGGGCCAGGGTCCCCTCATCACAGCCCCACACTTCTCCCTGAGATGAGGTGCTGCCGGGGCCAAAGGCAGCGGACTGGGCACCCAGGCTGTCTCTATCCACAAACCCACCAGCAAGAGCTGGCTTCCATTAAGGGTCACTGTCCCTCACCAAACTCGGCTTCAGTGCTGGCATGACCCCCTGTCCTCAGGGACCCCCTGTCAGTATCAACCTGTATCTCTAGACTTCTCATAAATACACAGGACACACCTCCTCCATCCGAACAATTAACCCCATGCACTGCTTTCTGGGTCATTCTGCACCCCACCAAACCTAGCCCTCACTATCTGGGCCAGATAGTGGAAGGATCCCCTGAGGCAGCCCTGGGAAGGGAAAGATAGCAGCCTGGATGTTGAGGGCCTACAAACGCTTCCTTGGCACAAGGGAGCCTGCCACAGAGCACCCCCACCGCTCTCTGCACGTCCCCCCTGGGAGAGCCTGGCAGGGCCTCTGGGGCATAGGTTTGTGAGAGGGCAGAGCCCCAGCTGGGCTAGATGGGGAAAAAAGCAAGATAAAACTAGTCTGATAAGTGTATAAGCCTTTTTTGTGCTAAAATGACAGTGATACATCCACATTATTGAGGCATATACAGCAAACTGTTAGAACAGCAGTAATCTCTGTAGCAGCACTTTTACTTTCTAAAACTATGTTTCGGCTCGGCGCCTATGGCTCAACCGGCTAAGGCGCCAGCCACGTACACCTAAGGTGGCGGGTTCGAATCCCCAGCCCGGACCCGCCAAACAACAATGATGGCTGCAACCAAAAAATAGCCGGGCGTTGTGGCGGGCGCCTGTGGTCCCAGCTACTTGGGAGGCGGAGGCAGGAGACTCGCTTGAGCCCAGGAGTTGGAGGTTGCTGTGAGCTGTAATGCCACGGCACTCTACCCAGGGGGACAGCTTGAGGCTCTGTCTCAAAAAAAAAAAAAATAAAATAAAATAAAACTATGTTTCTACAATGTCTGATTTTTTTAAAGGATCATTATAATTAATAGGAAAAGATAAACAGAGAAAGGACAAGGAAATCAGAATCACATTAGTTCCCACAATGTACTTTTCTGTGTTGTTGAGATTTTCCAGGATATATGAATGACTTTTGTAATTAAACTAAGACAACAATCATGCTGGGGGACTGAGTGTTGGTCAGCAAGCTGGAGGGCGCCTCCTGCTGGAGCCTCTGATGGATGGGCCTCAGTTCAGCCTCTGCTAAGGAACCTGTGTGCTCACACAAGCCTGGGGCCCACTCCTCAGTTGCCAGCCTCATCTACAGAGGGGGACACTGAAGAGCTGGGTTTGGGGCCTACACGCCGGGGTGTTCCGACAGAGCAGTTGGGGAAAGCTTGAGTCAGTGACCTCCTGACCCACTCCCAGAGGTGAGACACATCTCTGAGACTCAGAGGGCCAGCCCCCAGCCTCTGGGCCTGCGCCAAATGCTCTCACTGCTATCCCCCTGAGCTCGCCCTCACCCGATTCTCTGTTGCTCCAAGACATCCAGCCGCTCCGCTCTCTGGATGACCTGCAGGATGGCGTCCACCTCCGCTGGGCTGAGGCACTGGCTCCTCCTCTGCTTCTCGGTTTGGTAGGTGTGCACAGACCAGCCTGTCTGCAACCTCGAGAGAAGAGACACAGACGGGGTTCAGGCCACCCCAACACAAACCCCTGCACCACATACCATGTCTACCAAGTCCCCTGAGAACAGTCTAAACAGCGTAAGTGCTGTGAGCCAGGGGAAAGGGCAACCAAGATGAGGCAGGCACAGGGTCCAAGTGCCATCCTGCCACCCACTGCTGCTGGGCCCTGGGAGAGATGGCAGCACCATCTCAATATTGCAGCAGACGAGCTCTGTCTGGACTGCGTGCCCTTCTGTGAGCTGGACAGACTCAGGGATTTCAGGCCCTGAGAAGGAACACCCGCTCCCTGCCCCTACATGCTGATTTGTTCCTTCTGAGCATTTCAGAGACTCAAATGGTCTGTGATTGGCCAGAACACACTTTGTGAGGCCCCCCAGGCAAGAGGAAGGTAATTGAGAACGAGGATCCCTATGCTTAGGGGATCCCCACCCACCCCCAACCCCAACATAGCCACCTGCCCTGGTAGGCAAGACTCCCACTGAGCTCGCTGTCAGCCTAGGGCACCACAGACATCATCTCACTGGACCCTCACAGCCATCCTGCTAAGCAGGTCTCTCCATTTTTCCGAGGAAATGAGATGTGGGGTGCAGCTAGATAGCTAAAGGTAACCAAGACTGGGCTTTGCCACGGACCCAGAGGCCAGAGCCCTAAGCTGAGGAGTTCATAAACCAGCAGCTGAGACTATTTCAAGCTCCCACAGAGCAGCCCCCACAGGGCTTTCCTGCTTCCATTGGATCAGCCACTAAGCCCCAACCATGTCCTCTTATCTGGCCTCTGAGCAGAGGCCACTGTCCAGGTTGGACCCTGACTCCCTCTTCCCCCATATTTCCATCTAACATTTACCCCTTCTCTGGGTCTCAACGTAAGTATTACACTCCCAGAGCAGCCTCTCCTGACTCCCAGATTGGGTCAGCACCCCACCCTTCCATGTCAGTTATGACCAGCAAAGCAGCTACAGGTAGGTAATATGTTCACAGTGTCAGCTCTCCCCATCTGTGCTTTAAGACAAGAGACCAGGCTGGTCTTGTTTGCTGCTGTGCAACTGGTACCTGGCACACAGTAGGGGTTTAGAAAATGTCAGCCAGCAGCCTGAGGAGAGCCCCAGGCTGCAGCTAGGGGAGGTAATTTCCCCAGGGTTCCCAGAGGCTCCCATGGGGCACAGCTCCTGGCTCCCAGCTGCAGCCCGGGGATCTATCTGTACTACTCTCCTTTACAGAGACTTTGTCAGGTATGACAAGGCAGCACACCCAGGGAGGAGATGAAAGCCTTTGCTCTTCTAAAAGGTGCCACAGCAGCTTTAGTCTCTGCTGAGTCAGAGACAAGGTCAGGGAGAACTGAAGGGAACACTGTGAGGCCAGGAGGGGTCCTGCCAGGCCCTTGTACAAGAGCACAGGTAGCGACCCTGCTTAGGAGGGCACTTTGTCTGCCTGGTGTCAGAGAGAGGGAGGGGACTAATCTCAGCCCTGGTCAGTCTCCCTGTGGGGGCTGGATGGGGGAGTTGAAGGGAGCTGAGCCATCCTGGCAATGAGGACAAATTAATTGTAGTACAAAGATTCCTGCAAATCATGCATGACTCCACAACTCTTGGGCGTTCTGGATTAATTTTTCTATCCCCCTTTGATGTTTCAGCTCTGTGTCCTGCAGGCTTATAACATCTAATTGCAAATTTCTTGAATTTGGTCCCATTCAGGAAATGCTGGCTCCTGTATTTGGCAGGGTTTGACAGATGAAGGGACACTCTTATCAGACACTAGGGCCCCCTGAGTCCCTTGGAGGTGTGGGAGAGACTAGAGAGCAGGAGAGGCATCTGAGAGGTCCCATCTCCAGGGACAGTGGACAGTGGGGGGAGATGACCTGACTTACCAGAGCTGAGGGACAACAGGAAAACATAGACCCCCCCCCTAAAGGGAACAGACTGGAACCAGGGAACTAGAGAGATGCTAAGGCAGAGGTTCTCAACTGTATTAAAGGGCTGTGGCATTAGGAAGGTTGAGAACCACTGCTCTAATGCAGGCGTCCTCAAACTATGGTTCACGGGCCACATGCGGCCCGCTGAGGACATTTATCCGGACCGCTGGGTGTTTTTGCCGTTGCCGCCTGTCCTGCTTAGCAGCTGACTCATCCCAGGGCCTGCAGTCCAGCCCTCCAATGAGTGAACTGGCCCCCTGTTTAAAATGTTTGAGGACCCCTGCTCTAATGAGAGCAAGGAAAAGACTCTGGGACAGCTCGAGCTGGCCGCGTGCTTCAGCCCGAGGAGTAGCTCTTCATTCACAAACCTTTGCTCTGTCCTGACAGAGCCCAGCACTTGCCTATGAAGGGGGCATCTCAAGGCCATAGGTTCCTTCCCTTTAGGGCCTCTTCGACTTAAGGCTCAATAATAGGAGAGAAGGCCAATGAAGTGGTCTGGGTCCCTGCAGCCTACTAGGATAGAAAGAACCCAGGCTTGGTGCCTATAGCTCAACCGGCTAAGGCGCCAGCCACATACACCTAAGGTGGCGGGTTCGAATCCCCAGCC